TAAAAAACTTGTGTAAATTGATAACAGAACGGGGACTGAAGAGACGGGGAAACAGACAAAACTTACTAAGAGCTACAATTGATATGGAGCGCCATTATTGCCTATGTCCTGAAGACACGGTGCATGGAAGAAGAAGAAAGAAAACCACATCTTATATCGTCCATTGCATGATTTACCTAGAGTTGCAGCATCCAGGGTGTAACTAGCCAGGGCTAGAAAAATATGCTACTTTTACTGTTCCTCACAATAACAAGAATCGAATTTTCCAGCAGATGATTCAAAATGCTCCTTTGCTTTATCCAGTAACCGTTACTCATAAAAGAAATGTTAAGTAAGACAGACAGGAGAGGATTATAAGGAAGTGAGGTGAGCTAACTACTATGTCTTTCACAATAAAGGCTAGAGAGAGGAATATACACAATGAGCCGTACAAAGTGCCCAGTGATGTACATCGGTGAAATATCTATAAATTTCCAAGAAAGACTATATTAGCATAGAAGAGCTTTGCTGCATGACAACATATCTGGCTACAATGTCAATTTAAAAAAAAAGATCAGGAAAAAAAGGATTAACTTAGAAGAAAACGCATTGAGTGTGCACTGATTTCGTAATTCTCGACGATAAACCTAAGACCAGGCTCATACATATTATCATCGCAAAAGCTATAGCAGCAAAATGCAGTATACGAAATAATAGTCATTATAACAGAGATCTACTTGGAGTAGACTAATTTCAAATCCAATAGACATTAACAGTTTTACTACAAAAAGCACAGTTTTGTTCTTTCATTCTAACTGGAAGACGCCAATAACCTAAGCAGATATTAACGGCTGTAATAATAATAATAATAAAACCAAGCCAAGCCCAAGTTTTTCTTTCATTCTGACATAAAAAGGTCAACGTAGGACATGAAGGCGAAACGTGTTGTCATTAAAAAAACTTTCCCACTTTGTCACATTTCTCTACTTTTGTTCGGATATTATACTGTATCATACAAACACGCCACGGCAATTATGTTAATGAGTACTGCTCGCATAATTAGGTAAGCTAGTTCAATAATTTCGTAAGAAAAATATTCATTTATATTTATTCCCAGGAGAAATGGTATAAACATTAAATCAAAAGAAATAAATGATAATACCACCAGTATTACTCTATATAACAATAATAAGCGAGTAGTGGATAGCATCTCGGATTGAGGAATCGGAGAGCCGAGTTCGATTCCATTCAAATCCATTACATTCACTTACGTGCTAATACCCGTGGGAAAGGTATTAATCCTCTTCTTCTCCCTTCAGCTATGGTTAAATAGCAGGACAAACTGGGTTCTATAGCCTTGGATGGCAACTAGACTAGGAGAAGGACAACTCTGTATTCAAAACCTGCGGAAGGTCGTTTGGAGACATTGTGACACGTAGTGCAACAGGTTTCTGTGTGGTTTGGTTCTGCACAAACACTTCACCACTATAACCAAATCATATGTGCTGGTGTCTGGCTGTCTGGCTGTCGGTTCCTAGAAAATGAGCTGCTTGATCCTCATACGTCGAATAAATGGGAGAGCACACCAATAATAATAATAATAATAATATGACAGAGAATGAGATAAAACCTAAAATGAGGTATGAAATGATAATCTCCCAGGAAATAAAACCGAAGAATCTACCTGTAACATAACCTGAAGATACCCAGAGGATGTCACTGAAGATGAGTCCAACTATATCAGGGCAGAATTCCTTGAAAACAACAGAGGTGAAATCACCGAAGCGAAAAACCACATCATCCAAGTACACAGTAGAGTAACTTTCATACAAATGACAGACAGAGAGCAGCTTCTAAAAATTTATATGACAAAATCCAATAAGCACACTGTACGAATATACAACGCTGCACTGCAAACACTGTTAACAGACAAACCACTGGAAAACATCACAGAAGTAAATAATACTATATACGCAACAGCTTTAGCATCTACTGGAAAGCTTGGGATCAAGACAATGAAAAGATCAAACAACAGACAAAAAGAGCCAGCTTGGAAGGCAAAATTGATGCGAGAAATAAAGGAAATCAGGTGTGTGTTATCGTTAATAGATGAGGTCACAAGAAAGCCATATGTCTCAACATGTAGATGCAGGTAGATCAATCGGAAATATAAAATGAAATTACTAAAAGAAATAAACTTCATTTAAAGACACAGAAATCAAAACGATATGAAAAGCATTGTAGGTTCTATCGCCAAAATAAAATATTTGAAACGGACCTTAATAATTTTACAGGGAAATTGGAAAAGCAGTTATACATCCAAAAAAACACCATCTATTGAAAAAGTGCTGAAATCTTGGGAGAATTTTTGAAGCAGCCTAAAGAGATATAACCCCAATGCAGAATGGATCCAAAGAGAACAAATTTTGGATAAAAAACGGGAAAATATAACCACGAATATTGTTAGGGAAGCTCTAACGAAATCCCCAAAATGGATATCCCCAGGAAATTGCAAGGTACCCAATCTTTGGCTCTCTCATCTGCCATCAATCTATAAAACCCTTTCACAAAATCTATAAATACTTATTAATGATAAATAATAAATCCCAGAATGATTCATTGAATGTATTACATATCTCATGCGAAAAAAGAGTGAAACGGATGATCCGAAAAATTATAGGCCAATAACATGTCTGTCTACCACGTATAAATTGATCACGTCTGTTCTGACGAACCGTACTTACTCTCTTCTCGAAGCAAACAACATTCTTCCACTGGAACAGAAGGGAAACAGGAGAGGTTCATATGGTTGAAAAGATCAGCTATTGATAAACAAAATGATCCTGGAAAATTGCAGGAAAAGATCTAGAAATCTCAGCACAGCATGGATAGATTAACGTAAAGCCTTAGGATTTTGGAAATATACAAAGTCTCCTCCGTGGTAGTAAATTTCCTTAAACACGCATGGAAATGTGGAAAACCACATTATACCTAAATCACACCAGAGGCACTGCAATCTCCAATCGACTGAATATCCGACGTGGAATCTTTCAGGGAGACTCCCTATCACCCCTGCTGTTTTGTCTGTCCTTAATCCCTCTCACGCATGAACTAAACGATAATAGCTATGGATACAAATTAAACAAGAATTCAATAACCTACTTTTCATAGATGAACTTAAACTCTTTGCCAAATATAACAATGTGTTGAAGAATCTCATCATTACTGTAACATATTTCATTGACGACAAAGGAGAATGTACTGAAAGGAGAAGGTAAGAAAGGAGAAGATAAGAATGGAGAAGGTAAGAAAGGCGAAGATAAGAAAGAAGAAGGTAAGACAGTAGAAGATAAGAAAGTAGAAGATAAGAAAGGATAAGGCAACAAAGGCGAAAAGAGGAAAGGCGAATATAAGAATGGAGAGGGTAAGAAAGGCGAAGATAAGAAAGAGTAAAATAAGAAAGGAGAAGATAAGAAAGGCGACGATAAGAAAGGAGAAGGTAAGAAATGCGAAGATAAGAATGGAGAAGGTAAGAAAGGCGAAGATACAAAATGAGAAGATAAGAAAGGATAAGGCGAGAAAGGCAAAGGTAAGAAAGGAGAAAATAAGACAGGCGAAGTTAAGAAAGAAGAAGGTAAGAAAGACGAAGATAAGAAAGGGGAAGATAAGAAAGAAGACAAGAAAGGAGAAGGTAAGAAAGGCGAAGATAAGAAAGGCGAAGATAAGAAAGGCGAAGATAACAAAGACGAAGATAAGAAAGGAGAAAATAAGAAATGCGATGATGAGAAAGGAGAAGGTAAGAAAGGCGAAGATAAGTAAGGCGAAGATAAGAAAGGAGAAGGAAAGAAAGGCGAAAATGAGAAAGGCGTTGATAAGAATGGAGAAGGTTAGAAAGGAGACAATATGAAAGGAAAACGCAAGAAAGGCAAATGTAAAAAGGCGAAGATAAGAAAGGCGAAGATAAGAAAGGAGAAGGTAAGAAAGGCGAAGACAACAACCGAGATGGTAAGAAAGGCGAAGATAAGAAAGAGGAAAATAAGAAAGGCAAAGATATGAAAGGAGAAGATAAGAAAGGCAAAGAAAGAAGATGAGAAAAGATGTTAAGAAATGCGAAGATAGGCAATGAGAAGATAAGGAAGGAGAAGATAAGAAAGGCGATAATAAGAAAGGCGAAAATAAGAAAGGAGAAGGTAAGAAAAGAGAAGATAAAAAGGTGAAGATAAGAAAGGCGAAGGTAAGAAAGGCGAAGATAAGAAAAAAGAAGATAAAAAAAGCGAAGTTAAGAAAGTCGATGATAAGAATGAAAAAGGTCAGAAAGGTGAAAATAAGAAAGGCGAAGATAAGTAAGGCGAAGATAAGAAAGGAGAAGGAAAGAAAGGCGAAAATGTGAAAGGCGATGATAAGAATGGAGGAGGTAAGAAAGGAGATAATAAAAAAGGAAAAGGCAAGAAAGGCAAAAGTAAGAAAGGAAAATGTAAGAAAGGCGAAGATAAGAAAGAAGAAGGTAAGAAAGGAGAAGGTAAGAAAAGAGAAGATAAAAAGGCGAAGACAAGAAAGGCGAAGATAAGAATGGAATTGGTAAGAAAGGAGATAATAAGAAAGGAAAAGGCAAGAAAGGCAAAAGTAAGAAAGGAGAAGATAAGGAAGGAGAAGGTAAGAAAGGCGAAGATAAGATAGGAGAAGATAAGAAAGGAGAAGGTAAGAAAGCCGAAGATAAGAAAAGCCGAAGATAAGAAAAAGAAGGTAAGAAAGGCGAAGATAAGAAAGGAAAAGGTAAGAAAGGCGAAGATAAAAAAGAAGAAAATAACGAAGAAGAATGTAGAATGCAAGAAAGGCGAAGAAAAGTAAGGAGAATAAGTGAAAGGCGAAGATAAAAAAAGGATAAGGTAAGAAAGAAGAAGGTAACAAAAGGAGAAGATAAGAAAGGAGAAGGTAAGAAATGCAAAGATAAGAAAGGCGAAGATAAGAAAGAGACGATAAGAAAGTAGTAGATACGAAAGGGGAAGATAAGAAGGGAGAAGTTAAGAAAGGCGAAAATAAGAAATAACAAGATAAGAAAGGCGAAGGTAAGAAAGAAGAAGGTAAGAAAAAGAGAAAAGAAAGGAGAAGGTAAGAAAGAAGATAAGAAAATAGAAGATATGAAAGGAGATGGTAAGAAAGGCGAAGATAAGAAAGAGGAAGATAAGAAAGGCGAAGGTAAGAAAGGAGTAGATAGGAAAGGATAAGGTAAGAAATGTGAAGATAGGTAAGGCGATGGTGAGAAAGGAGACGGTTTGTAAGGAGAAAAAGATAATAAAGGAGACGTTAAGAATGGAGAACATAAGAAAGTCGAATATAAAAAATGTGAAGATAAGAAAGGAGAAGAAAATAAAGGCGAAGATAAGAAAGACGATGATAAGAATGGAGAAGATAAGAAAAAGGACGATAAGAAAAGGCGAAGATGAGGAAAGTGAAGGTAGGAAAGGCGAAGATAAGAGAGGAGAAAATAAGAAAGACGAAGATGAGAAAGGAGAAGTTAAAAAAGGAGAAGGTAAGAAAGGAGAAGATAGGAAAGGAAAAGGTATGAAAGGCTAAGAAAAAAGGCGGTGAAATGAATGGACAATGTAAGAAAGGAAAAGATAAGAAAGGCGAAGATAAGTAACGCGAAGATAAGAAAGGAGAAGGTAAGAAAAGATAAGAAAAAGGTAAGAAAAGCGAAGAAAAGAAAGATGATACGAATGGAGAAGGTAAGAAATGCGGAGGTAAGAAAGGCGATGATAAAAAAGAAGAAGATAAGGAAGGCGATGATAAGAAAGGCGATGATAAGAAAGGCGAAGATAAGATAGGAGAATATAAGAAAGAAGTTAAGAAAGGCGAAGATAAGAAAGGAGAAGGTAAGAAGGGCGAAGATAAGAAAGAAGAAGATAAGAAAGGAGAAGGCAAGAAAGGCGAAGATAAGAAAGGCGAAGATAAGAAAGACAAAGATAAGAAAGGCGAAGATAAGAAAGGCGATGATAAGAAAGGCGATGATAAGAAAGGGGAAGGTAAGAAAGGCGATGATAAGAAAGGGGAAGGCAAGAAAGGCGAAGATAAGAAAGGCGAAGATAAGAAAGACAAAGATAAGAAAGGCGAAGATAAGAAAGGCGAAGATAAGAAAGGCGATGATAAGAAACGGGAAGGTAAGAAAGGCGATGATAAGAAAGGGGAAGGTAAGAAAGGAGAGGGTAATAAAGGAGATGATAAGAAGGGCGAATGTAAGAAAGCTGTAGATTAGAAAAGAGACGATAAGAAATGCGAAGATAAGAAATGCAAAAATGAGAAAAGCGAAGATAAGTAAGACTAAGTTAAGAAAGCAGACGGTAAGAAAGGAGAAGGTAAGAAAGGAGAATATAAGAAAAGAGAAGATAAGAATGGACAAGGTAAGAAAAGGCGAAGATAAGAAAGACGAAGATAAGAATGGAGAAAGTAAGAATGGAGAAGGTAAGAAAGGAGAAGATAAGAAAGAAGAAGGTACGAAAGATGAAAATAAAAAATAAGAAGATAAGAAAGGCGAAGATAAGAATGGAGAAGGTAAGAAAGGAGAAGGTAAGATAACGAAGACAAAAAAGGCGAAGATAAGAGCGGAGAAAAAAGAAAAGAGAAGGTAAGGAATTAGAAGATAAGAAAGATGATAAAAATGCGAAGATAAGAAAGGTGAAGGTAAGAAAGACAAAGGAAAGAAAGGAGAAGATAAGAAAAGCGATGATAAGAAAGGCGAAGTTAAGAAAGGCGAAGATAAGAAGGAAGATAAGAAAGGAGAAGGTATGAAATGCGAAGATAAGAAAGGATAAGATTAGAAAGGCGAAGATGAGAAAGGAGAAGGTAAGAAATGCGAAGATAAGAAATGCGAAGATACGTAAGGCGATGTTACGAAAGGAAAACATAAGAATGATAAGAAAGGTAAGAAAGGCGATGATAGGAAAGGTGAAGGTAAGAAAGGCGAAGATAAGAAAGGAGAAGATAAGAAAGGTGAAGATAAGAAAGAAGAAGATAAGAAAATTGAAGGCCAGAAAGGCGAAGCTAAGAAAGGCGAAGATAAGAAATAAGAATAGTAGAAAGGCGAATATAATAAAGGCGAATATATGAAAGGCGATGATAAGAAGGGAGAAAGTAAGAAAGGCGAAGATATGAAAGGAGAAGATAAGAAAGAAGAAGTTAAGAAAGGCGAAGTTTAATAAGAAGAAGATAAGAAAAGAGAATATAAGAAAAGTCGAAGATAAGAAAGAGAAAGTAAGAAAGTCTAAGATAAGAAAGGCGAATTTAAGAAAGACGAAGATAAGAAATGCGAAGATAAGAATGTGATTAAATAAAGGCGAAGATAAGAAAGAAGAAGATAAGAAAGCTGAAGATAAAAAGAAGAAGACAAGAAAGGTGAAGTTAAGAAAGGAGAAGGTAAGAAATACGAAGAGAAGAAATACGAAGAGAAGAAAGGCGATGATAAGAATGGAGAATCTAAGAAAGGTGAAGATAAGAAATGCGAAGATAAGAAAGGCGATGATAAAAATGGAGAATGTAAGAAAGGCGAGGATAAAAAAGAAGTAAATAACAAAGGAGAAGATAAGAAAGATTAAGATAAGAAGGGAGAAGATAAGAAAGGCGAAGTTAAGAAATACGAAGATAAGAAATGCGAAGGTAAGTAAGGAGATGAAAAAAGGAGAATTTAAGAAAGGCGAAGATAAGAAAGGAGAAGTTAAGAAAGGCGAAGAGAAGAGAGAAGATAAAAAATGCGAAGATAAGAACGGCGGAGATAAGAAAAGCGATGATAAGATAGGAGAATGTAATAAAGTTGATGATAAGAAAGGAGTAAATAAGAAAGAAGAAGATAAGAAAAGAAAATGATAAGAAAGGCGAAAATAAGAAAAGCGATGATAAGCATGGAGAAGTGAAGAAAGGAGAAGATAAGAAAGGCGAAGCTAAGAAAGGAGTGCTCTAGTCGTGTGTGTCTGGTTGTGAACACCGAGCTGAAATAAAAAAAAGAAAAGAAAAGAGAGAGAATATCGGTCATAAAGACATTGGTTGTCCCTGTGGTACAATACTCCCTTAAATGGACCAGGGTTGGCATTAAGCGAATGGATGGCAAAAGAGAACGTCTCTCACTTGCCACCGCATACATCATCCTAAGGCTGATGATGATCGTCTATATGTGCCCAGATCCGAAGGAGGCAGTGGATTGGTTCAACTGGAACTGTCATAAAACTACAACCAATAAACTTAAATAGACTGGATGATGATCCGTGTCAAATAATATGAAAGAAGTAAGAAACATTATTCGGTGATAATGGAAGCCAACAATTTGAAAACGGAGTTTCAAATGGCTGATGAAATGCAAGTAAATCATTATACACCGACTACAGCTGCAAAATACTTAAAAAAAGAAAGCAAAGGCAGACGCAACCAACCAGATGCAGAAACTATGTCAAGATAAACAGCTTCGCGGTCAATACTCTGCCTGTACCAAACAAGCTAACGTAGGCAAACAATGTACCTATTAACGGCTACGTAGTGCAAGGTTAAAAGCTGAAACTGAAGCTTTTATTTTGTTTCACAGGACTAATGCTTGCTAACTAGAAATTACCACGCACCTGAAAAACGATATTAGCTCAAAATGCAGTGTATGTGATAAGTTCCCAGAAACAATTGATCGTTTTGTAACAGGTTGCACGCTATTGGCACCCACTGAATATAAAACCGGCATGACAGAGTGGGCCAGTATCTGCATTCAAAAATATGCAACTTTTACGGAATGGAAATTGGTATGAACACCACCCAGACCCAGTTACGGGGATAGGACCTGTAACAATTTTATGGGACTTTACAATACACACAGACAGAACAATTAAAGCTAATCGCACAGACATCCTGAGACCACAAAGACAAAATGAGCCTTCTTATTGACATGACAATTCTCGCAGACTGTTTCTTACCTTAGGTCTCTGGTTGGGACCAGGAATGAAATGAGTATACACCAGAAATCAAAGGAATAATAATAATAATAATAATAATAATAAGAAGAAGAAGAAGAAGAAGAAGAAAACTGCAAGAAACTAGTATGAACATCACACAGATCCGGTTACAGATATAGGACCTGTAACAATGGCACTTTGCAGTACACAAAGACAAAACAATCAAAACTAATCGCCCTGACAACATCATTAAAGAGCACAAAACTGCATGTGCTTTTTTATTGACATGATAGTCCCTGCTGATTGTAATGTATCTTTGAAGAACTGTAAAACCTATCAAAATACAAGTATCATGAAATGGAAATCTCAAAAATGTGGTATATGACGGCATCAATAATTCCAGTTGCTTGGAAAAGGTTCCGATAAATTCATTGACGTCATTCTTACCTTAAAGAAATACAAAATATTGTACTCACAAGTACAGCACACACATTACGAAAAAAACTTTATTTAACTAAAAATGTGTGTGATCTTTGTTTTGTTTTGTTTTTATAAAAATGATCAATGAAAATTTTCATGAAGCCATTTCTGACCTTAGGTCTCTGGTTGGTACCCGAAAGGAAATGTGTATATAACAGAAATCAAAGAAAATAATAATAATAATAATAATAATAATAATAATAATATCGAACAATGTAAGTAAATCAGCCAGACATTATAAATAAAGACAAAAAAGAAAAAAGTCGTTGGCTGGATCCAGTGTATTAACCCCAGAAGTTGTGAGTTCAATACCTTTCTACTGCAGTGGTGAACAAAAACTTTGAGAACTGAGTTAAAGGGCGATAACTGAGATATCCGGAAGAAGTATGACACGTGGAACTAGAACAATCTTGCCTAGTGAACAAAATAAAGGGTTCAGTGTCGGAATTCCAATCACCTGAAAAAGGCCGAAGGGTACAACGCCCAAAACGTCGTGGATATTGCAATAACGATGAGGACGGGACAACAGTCCGAACAATGTAAATAATGTAAATATAAGATAAAAAGTTTGCACATTTACTGACATGAGCCTTTCAGGTGACAAAACATCACTGTAAGGTTTTTGAAAAACTGAACAAATACAAAGACCTGGAGATGGAAATAGAAAAAAAAATGTAGCACTTAAATACTAAAACAGTTCCTGTTGTGGCTTTTGGTCCAATAAAGAAAGGATCTCATGAACAAATCAAGAGAAACCTGGTGCACCATCTCTCCAGGAAATTCAATATATACTTCTAATAAACAGCTCATATATTGCGAAGAACTTTGTTGATTTAACTTTGTTGTTTCTATATATATATATATATATATATATATATATATATATATATATATATATATATATATGTTGTTTCTATATAATTTTGTTGTTTGTATATAATATATATTTTGGTTCTATATAATTTTTTTTTTCTATATAATATATATATATGTTGTTTCTATATAATTTTGTTGTTTGTATATAATACATACATACATATATATATATATATATATATATATATATATATATATATATATATATATATATATATAAGTTTCATTCCAAGCAAGGCAGGAAGCCACTAGGACGCAAGGGGTTACAGAAGATTTGGAGCAAGATCAGATAGGAGTGATACAGGAAAGGATGAGGAGAAGGATAGTGGATAGATCAAGGCAACTGGAGATGTCGATTGAGATTCAATTTGAATAGTTAGAGATTGTAGCTCTCAGAGATTAGGGAAGGGAGTTCCACAGGCGACAGGTGCGAGACATGAAGCTATTCGAGTAGAAGAGACGGCTACATTTAATAGTTTCGACAGTGAAAGGGTGAGAGCGGGATGCCAGCCTCGTAGGACGCTTGAATTCATGAAGTCTGGGAACCAGCGAATGCAGCTCCTCGGAGCAATTGCCATGAAAGTATTTGTAAAAAAGATAGAGAGAGGCGACGGCGCGTCTGTGGGAGAGCGACGGTAGACGAGATGCCAGAACAATGGCCAATTATATTGCATATCCGCCTCTGGATTTTATCAAGAACCCCAAGGCAAACAGAAGGGACTCCAGACCATATATGGCAGCAACACTCCATGCAAGGGCGAATTGTTGATTTGTAGATCTGAAGGATCGATTCCGGGGAGAAAAATTCCCTGGCGCGGCACAGGGAGCCAACTTTCCTTGAGGTGGACGAAGCAATTGACTCAATGTATTTGTTCCATCTCAGGTCAGCAGTCAACGTGAGACTGAGCAGACGCAGAGAGGTGCTCTCGAGAAATTGAGCGTCAGACATTCTAATGGAGGGCAGAGAAGGATTTCTGTGGTGATTAATAGAGAGCAGTTTTGTTTTTGAAGCATTAAAGTTGAACAGCCAATTCCTGCCCCAGTTCACAACCGATTGGAGGTCCTTTTCGAGACGCACGGCCAGGTTAGTTTTGTCAGCAACACTAGATTTGTTTTTGAGGCAGAAATAAATTGTGGTGTCATCCGCGTAGATGCCAACTTGGGAATTTATGGCGTCAGGAAGGTCATTTATGTAGATAAGGAATAGAGTGGGGCCTAGGATGGAGCCTTGAGGAACACCTGCATTCGTGGGATAGGAACTGGAGGAGAATCCGTTCAGAACGAGCTTCAATTCACGGTTTGACAAGAATGATTGTATTAGGTCAAACAATCGACCCGTAATACCATAACCCTGGAGCTTGTGAAGAAGGCCGGCATGCCAAACCCTATCAAGCGCTTTAGAGATGTCTAGGGCCACGGCACGAGCTTGCCCGTTATTTTAAAGAGCTTGGTAGACAGTTTCAGTGATGGCTGTAAGCACATCAGCTGTAGATCGGGCAAAGCGGAAACCATATTTCTTGTCTGAGAGCAGATCATGGGATGTAAGGTGGTTAACCATTTCGGCATTGATTAGGGCTTTGAAGACTTTGCCGAAGAGGGGTAGGAGACTGATAGGACGGTAATTAGAAGGGTCAGAGGGGTCGCCAGAGTTCTTGAAGACAGGAACAATCGAAGAGGACTTCCAGCAGTCAGGAAAACAAGATTCCTTGAGGCAGTAGTTATATAGTTTAGAGAGGGCGGGCGCCAGCTCAGGCGCGCATTTCTTCAAGACAATGGCTGGAATCCCATCCCCGCCACTAGCCTTGTTGGGGGTCTAAATTGGAGAAATACCAAAGACGGGGTTATGTGTAACCCACTCAATAGGGCCCCTCAGTTCTAAGAGGAAAGTCGGGTATGGGTACACCGGAAGAGTCGAGCGTTGAGTTGAATGAAAATTTCCGAACAAAGCATTCAGCCTTGTCGGCAGAGAAGGTCAGGACTTTGAACTGGTTGAACAAAGGAGGTATAGAGAGTTTGCAATTGTTCAGTACGCTCTTGCAGAGACGCCAATAATCTTTGGAGTCAAATTTGCGAAATGCAATACGCTCCTTCATCCGAGCAGCAAATAGTGACTTAGCATCGTTGACACGCTTATACTCGCTACGGGCGGAGGCAAAGAGACGTCTATTGCAGTCCGACATGTCGCTACGAAATAGGTGAAAGAAGTGGTTCCTATGGGCAATGGCGGCTGAGAAAGCAGTGGAGAACCAAGGGGGGAGTGCGACTTGACCCTATATTTCCTTTGTATATAATTTTTTGTTTCTATATAATATATGTATATATGTTTTTTTCTATATAATTTTGTTGTTTCTATAATATATATATATATATATATATATATATATATATATATACATGTTTTTTTCTATATAATTTTGTTGTTTCTATATAATATATATATATATGTTGTTTTTATATAATTTTGTTGTTTCTATATAATATATATATATATATATATATATATATATATATATATATATATTGTTTCTATATAATTTTGTTGTTTCTGTAGCTTTCTTTTGTTTAAGTAAAAAGACAAAATCAAGATTCACTGAAATCGTATGCTCTAGATTATTGGTTCTGAACCGATATGTAATAATAAAGAAAATCTAAGTGAAAAAGAAATTTCTCCATTTATTTCTAAGTATCTTTTTAATACTCAAAGATCATCATGTATTTCTATTCGTAACAAGAAAGTAAGAAAAATAAAGAAAAATTTAAGGAAAAAAGTAACTAAAAATAAAGAAATAATGATGAAAAGAAAGAAAGAAAGAAAGAAAGAGATAACAGTTCTAACAGATAAATACATCAATTCAAAATCAAATCCTCATACCTTATCTATAAATCGTCAGGTCACCATACTGAGTCGTTCATAGCCTTTCTCATGCCTACTGGGTTTACTCGGTACTGACCATTTCCTCTAAGTAACCAATGAAAGAGATTTTACTAGTTTGCACGATACTACCAGACGAGACTAATCACTGATAGCAGAATTATTAATTACTATTTTAAAAAGACGAAATCGCTGGGAGCAGATAACAATCCTGGTTAACAAAATATTGAAAACAGGCGCTGGTGACGGACGCAGTGAGGCATTGATATCACCGACCATTTTTATGTTATGATGAGGGGAATATTAGATATATATTTTTAGCAAAATATTTATTATATGATCTTCAGATATTCAAATTATACTACACTATCGCCTGTGTAATATTTTGGGTCCTTCGTGACATTTCTCAGTGCAGCAGCTTCTTCTAAACAGCATTTTACCGGCAGTAGATTGTAATCCCTGGCCTACCAGATATTATTAATGATTATAACATTGGAATGGTAATAACGAAGATTTGAAAAGATCTGTGGTCACTCCTTCCCCAGTGATTACTAGATTTGGTGGGAATAATAATAATAATAGGATCTAATCCTCCATTATCTGTCTATATTTCTGGGATGAGGTATTATGTACACTATTTAGATTATTCGGACTATTGTCCTCATCTTTGTCACCATATTTATTACAACGTTTTTGCCCATCAGTATCTATCTATATTTCTGGGATGAGGTATTATGTACATAAATTTACATTATTCGGACTATTGTCCTCATCTTTGTCGCCATATTTATTACAACGTTTTCGCCCATCAGTATCTGTCTATATTTCTGAGATGTGGTATTATGTACATTATTTACATTATTCGGACTATTGTCCTCACCTTTGTCGCCATATTTGTTACAATGTTTCGGCCTTTCAGTATCTGTCTATATTTCTGAGATGCGGTTTTATGTACATTATTTACATTATTCGGACTATTGTCCTCACCTTTGTCGCCATATTTATTACGTTTCGGCCCTTCAGTATCTGTCTATATTTCTGAGATGAGGTATTATGTACATTATTTACATTATTCGGACTATTGTCCTCATCTTTGTCGTCATATTTGTTCCAACGTTTCGGCCGTTGTACGCTTCGACCTTCTTCAGGTGGCTGGAATGTTGAACTGAATCCTTTATTTAGCTCACTGGGGTAGACTGTTCTTGTTCCACGTGCCATGTTTAATGGATATCAGTTATCAGTTATCTCCTGTTAATTTCCCTCTGAAAGTTCTCCACTGCCTTAACCAGGTATTGAACTCACACTCTTTGGGTCCTGTCACTGGATCTAACCAACGCCTTTATCCACTGTGCCAAGTGTCCTCGCAACCAGATCCTATCACTGTCACATAAGCAATGATGGAACTAACCCGAAATGCAGAATCTGCGGAAAATATCAGAAACTATCGACCATATTATCCCAGGATGTCAGGAATTAGCAAAAATTAAATATACTCGCATACATAACAAGGTAGTGACATATGTGCACAGGAAGATATGCAAGAAGCACAACATCGAAATCACTGAGAGATGGTATGAGCACCAACTAGACACAGTTACCCTAAATAACTATGTGACTATTCTCTGGGACACGCCAATTCAAACTGGCAGGAAAATAAAAGTCCACAGATCTGATATTACCATAGAGAATAGAAATTCAGGATGTGTAAGCTTATTGACATAGCAGTATCATTTGAGTGAAACACTTCCATGAAAATTATAGAGAAATTGTCCAAATTCAAAGACCTGGAGAATGAAGACTTAGACTGTATCAATAGTAATCGGAGTTCTGGGACTCGTGAGAAAAGGAATGGGCATTTTTAGCAACAGTGTCCCAGGTAATATCTAGTTCAACTGAGAACATCCCATATACTAAGAAAAGTGTTATGAATTAAATGACAATTGATGATACTTTTCGCTTTGGTTTGGTTTGTTTTACGGCATATCAATCTCTATGGGTTATTTAATGCCTACAACATTTTTATTGCTGGTAATATTTTTTATCTATCTATCTATCTATCTATCTATCTATCTATCTATCTATCTATCTATCTATCTCAGTATATATTGGTTTGGTTTGGATTTGTTTTACGGCATATCAACTACAATAGGTTACTTACTGCCGACAAGATTTTTATTGTAGGTAATATTTTTTCCAAAAAGTATTGCTGGTAATAATTTTTCCTTCAAAAATGTATTGCCGGTAATATTTTTACCTTAAATAATGTATTGCTGCTAATAATGTATTGCTGGTAATAATTTTTTACAAAAATGTATTCCTAATAATATTTTTCCTTTCAAAAATGTATTGCTGGCAATAATTTTTCCTCAAAAGTTTATTGCTGGTATTAAAACTTATTTTTACACTTTCATAGTTTTTCGATCCCATAGTTTTGCCCATAGATGGGACCCTAACAGGTGTTATCACCCCGGGTCAGGGTGAACCTGGGAAAACCAGCAATTAAGAAGTAGTTTCACGTTCCTCAGAACCTTCTGACCAGAGGCCTTGCTGTCGGACGTAGTTTATCGTCTCGCTGCTTTCTACTGTCCCTCTTTCCTTCAATCTGTCCCGTGTGAAAGCACGCGGAGTAATGGGAAGCAGCTCAGATTGAGGAATCGGAGAGCCGAGTTCGAATTTCAGTCGAATCCATTACATTCACTTACGTGCTAATACATGTGGAAAAGGTATGAATCCTATTCTTCTCCGCCCCACCAAGCTATGGGTAAATAGCAGGGAAGACCGGCTTCGATAGTCTGAAAATCAACTGATCTACCAGTCAACAGAAAACCACTCCACATTAATTCCCAAGAAAACGTGTCAAATCATAGATAATAAAGCAAAAGAATCCCAGGAGAACCATTATCAGGCATTAAAAAATAGTCTGCAAATGTACTACAAAGAGTTCTAGAGAATTTGGGAAACTTGCTGTCACTTGACCTCCATAGAATATTACTAGATGACTTAGGTGTTAAGATTAAAAAAATAAGAAGATAAAAACGTAAGTAGGATACTGCAACTATTTATACTACTAATAGTAACAGTAACAATTTCACTGCTACTAAAATGGTAACTTTTACTTACATTGTTTACACTCGGATTGTTATCCTCATCTTTGTTCTTATTATGACAAAGTTTCGGCCATTCTACTCTCCGGCCTTCACCAGATGCCTGTTGATGATCCTAAGGGAAACGTGGGGATGACAACAACAAAGATGAATGCAACTATCTGTGTATAAATAATGGCAATAATAATAACTTCTCATCCCAAAAGTTCAAACTGGATATATAACTTTTTATTCTTACAGCTAGGCAGTAGCGTAGATTATTTGTGACATGATTTTCTAAACATGGTTTAGATGTGGTGATTTTCTAAGCGTAGCTTAGATGTGGCACAAGTCCGAAAGTATGGTCACCCAGTGAGGATCGAACTCATTACTCAGCCGTAATTGTTCTAGGGAGACAGGCTTGCTAACCATTACATCACGCCGAGGTTCCCAACACTACTACTACTGCTTTTTCTTCTTCTTCTTCTTCTTCTTCTTCTTCTTCTTCTTATTATTATTATTATTATTATTATTATTATTTTTGTTTTTCTTCTTCTCCTCCTCCTTCTTCTTCTTCTTCTTCTTGTTTTTCTTCTTCTTCTTCTTCTTCTTCTTCTTGTTTTTCTTCTTCTTCTTCTTCTTCTTGTTTTTTCTTCTTCCTCCTTCTTCTCTTCTTCTTCTTTTTCTTCTTCTTCTTCTTATTTTCTTCTTCTCCTTCTTCTTATTCTTCTTCTTCTTCTTTCTTATTCTTTTCTTCTTCTTCTTCTTGTTTTTCTTCTACTTCTTATTATTATTCTTCTCCTTCTTCTTCTTCTTGTTTTTCTTCTTCTTCTTCTTCTTCTTCTTCTTCTTCTTCTTCTTCTTATTATTATTATTATTATTATTATTATTATTGTTTTTCTTCTTGTTGTTTTTCTTCTTCTTCTTCTTCTTCTTCTTCTTCTTCTTCTTCTTCTTCTTCTTCTTCTATGTGCCCTGTCCCTTCAGTATGTTGGCGATCATGCCTCTCTACAATTTCCTGTCCTTTGTAGCACTTAATAATTTTTTTTATTTCTCCTAAACATTGTTTCGCCATGCCTTTATTCAAGCTCATTAAATAGATTTTGCGTTGTTTCCTTCTGTCCTGTGAGTGTCAAATTTTCCAAGCCTTCTTTCTTATGGGCTCTATAAATTTCAGCTGTCTCTTCCGGATGTTAAGTATAAGTTTCCTTTTTGTTTATATTTTCCGTCGTCGCTCCCATGATCAAGTCGATAGTATCCTCAGCATCGTTCTGTAGATTCGCACCAAAGTCTTTTCTTCATCTTTGAGGAGATTGTCCAGCATTCACTGCCGTACAGGAGGACTGATATCACGTATCAGTTCAGAATTCTTTCCTTGGTTTCTAACGACATTTTTCTGTATCTTAATACTCTACTTAGCTTCAGGAATTCACCTTTGGCTATTCCAATGCGCCTTCAGATTTCAGTGACTTCACAGATATTTTTTTATACTCGTTTGCTTAACATAAAACGCAACTAAACAATGATGAGTTTCCATGCAATTGTCACAAACCACATCACTGCTACGTATTAATGTTAAAAAAAATGAAATTATTACTGTTGTTGTTTTGTAACAATTACAAAAATTACCAAAACTACTTCCACAATAACGAAAGCCACTACTAACGGACTAGTATTGTAACTATTGCTCTTACCAATATTACTACGACTATCACTACTGCCGCTGTAAATAATGAACTAATAACTGAACACTTCGCAAAAAAGCCATTTCAAGTGTGCTTGTCTTTTATGTTATTACTCATAAATTCGTTTCACCCTGGGCAATCCATAAGTGAAGCCTAATATCAAATATCTCTTCTTAATTAACCGCTAATATTTCGGACGTTAGACTTCCCGCTTTTATCAGTAGTAATAATTGGAGAGAAAAATGATAAAAATCATAAAAAGCAATGAACGTAAAGAAATGACAACTCTTGTTACCAATACGACTACTGCTGTCACGCTCAATAACTATTACTTCTACACTTGATTATACTTCACACTCAATGCAAATTTGATAGTAACGCTGGTTAATAATGCTAATAATTATAATACTATACTACAATGATTAATGCTATCATGAGTAATTGCTAATCCTACTGATGACAAAAACAGTTGCTTAAACATACTAACACTGCTTCGAAGTATTTTAATTAC